CTGGACCAGGAACCAGAACCAGAACCAACCGGACCTCTGTGAAAACGACTTCTACTGCTCTTCTATCAGCTGGACGCTTTAAAGATCCGAGCCTGGCTGTGTTTCTGATCCACATGTTGTCAGTTCCACCAAATCTTTGCACATTTATGTATGAAGGACAAAAATCTGAAACGAGCGACTAAAAGTGCTTTGAAATGACGCGTGTGTGTTTTCTTTGTGACGCGTTTCTCTGACCCAAACCGGCCGGACCGGATCTGCTGCTCGCTTTGTTGAACTAATTTTAGCGACGTCAAGCCGCAGGAAGCATTTAGCTCCACCTGCACTGCAAAACATTTCACTGAAAACGTCTTAGGACATTTAAAACGAGACAAAACTAACAGATCAATATAGAAACTTGTTTCAATCCAATATCATCTGTTGGTGGAAAGTGAAATAATCTGAGTTCCTCACAGCTTATAATTCAGAATAATATTCCCATGAAAGTGACTGTTTTTAGGTTATTATTTGAGGAAGGGACAATATTATAATTTATATTATATAATAACTTAAAATGTGAAAAATGTCTAGTTCGATTATTGAAGACACCAAACAAGCTCCTGTTTCTTGCTGAAAAGTTACTTGTTAGTGAATTTTACTTTTAAGTGTATTTGAAGTAAAAGCAAAAATAGTTCTTATGATTTTGTGTTTTTGCACTGTTCTGATAAATTTGCATATTTAATAGCTGATGAGGTTTGGTGATGCAGCAGCGTTCATATTTTACTCTTCATTGTTTTTGTGGATAATTAGTTTTGTCTTTACTTTGATTCTGCCTGCATGGATCAGAACAAAACCCCAACAACTCAAACTGAAGATCCTGTTTTTAAAATCCCTGCGGTCGGACGATGGAAGAACAGCAGCTCAGATGCATCATCAAGGCCCTCAAATTAAAAAGCTGTTCAGCGCTGAGTGTTTCTGGACACTAATGGTGTTTAGAGGAGCTGAGAAGGAGCAGAAGCCAGAAAGCGTCGCCTTAAGCACCACTGCAGCTCCATGAAAGTCAACAGGGACGCTGAAACTAAAACTCCTCCTCCACGCCCAGATCCTCCAGCCTTAATCTGCACTCAAGGCCCCATTATCTCCCTCAGAGATGGGAAGTGATATTAATGCTTCCACTGGGCTCCCGCTGCTGGAGAGGAAGTGAAGACGGGGAGCGATGGGCCTCTCGCTCACATCCCATTGATTCAACGCATCCTTACAAACCTTAATCACAACTGGACACGTTTGTGCACAATAGACACTCTCAGGAGAGATTCAGATGGCAAGAGGCCTCTGTGAAAGAGCCAGGCTCCCTCCCTGCTGGAGGAAACGATGAAGAGACACTCGGTGAATCCCAGAGGATTGTTCTTCCTGGACTGGGCTCTGCTGTCATCACAAGTCAGAGGCGAGAAGAACGAGAAATGATTCTGCTAATTACAACAGACTTAAATTAGCAATAAAGTTTAAGTCAATGAAGACATTCACCAGATCAGATAACCTGCAAAGTAATGAATACATTTCATCTTCAAACTCATAAACATGTTTCTTCTGTTGCAACCTTTCAGCATAAAAGCTTCAGAATATGAAAAGATTTCAAACAAAAACATGTTAAAGAGGATCAATGTCTCCCTCTAGCGGTTCATTTCTGTAATCACTGCAGACTGGTTTTCAGTCAGAACCATCCATCCATTTTCCGGTCACTCTTCTCCCTAACGGGGTCGGGAGGCGCTGCTGCCTCTCCAGCTGCGTATGACAGAATAACCAGACCGTACAGCCTTGGCGTCGTCCTCTGATGGACCGGACTCCGGTCCAGGCTCCGGTCCAGGCTCCGGTCCAGGCTCCGCCCCGCGCTCTGCAGCTGACCACGCCTGCTCCGTTCCCCACAGTGGGAAACAAACTAAATGCAAACCAGCAAAAACCCACAGCTTCCTTCTAACTCACACTGAATGTTTCTGTACATTTATTTTAATAAATGTTTAGCATTTTAAATCACTCTCCCATAATCCCTTTCTTCCTTTCCATCACAGCATGTCGGCCATTACATTTTGAAGAAGAGATGCATCAGAAATATAAAGTCCTTCTGTGAGACTGTCGTACTGCTTATGATGATATTAATAAAACAGATTTAGTTTGGTGTGATATTTTGTGCAGCTCATTTTCTATTTATTCTGATGTTTTATGCTGTTTTAACCCTTTAGATTAATGAGTTCATTAAGTTCTGGAGAACCGATCCACACAATACAGAGGAAATGAAGCCGTTTCATTCCAGTGTTTAGTCCCTGTGGCCCATCCAAAACCGGCAAGACGGCCAGCGGCCCCGGGAGGTACGAGGGGCCCCTGAGGTATCGGGAGGACCCTGAGGCGCACAGGGAGGAGGCCCCAGAGGGCCCCGGAGGCCCCAGAGGGCCCCGGAGGACCCAGGAGGCACCGGAGGACCCAAAGGCACCGGGGGCCCTCCAGGGCCGGAGTTTGGCTGCTGTGAATCAGCTTTATGTGCATCAGAATAACTTTGTTTTATGCATGAAGGAATCCTCCTGCAGTTAAACAAGCTGCTCAATGAAACGTCAGAGCAGCTTCATGTTGGAGCAGCAGCAAGGTTTCCGGTTCGAATCCCAGCCTGGCTGGAGCTTCACATGTGTTCTGTTCATGCTTCCTCTGCTTTGTGATGCTGTGCAGCTGAAAGGCTTTTTGCTGTTTTGTTTTTTTTTTTTTTTTACTTTTGGACAGTTCTTATGATACGTAACCATGGCAACAATGTCTTGCTTTTACATCTGAAAAGCTCAAATAATTCCTGAACTTTGACCTGCTGCAGTAATAAATGCAGCTGGACCATAAATCATTGTAGCGATAAACGATAAACTTGTTATTTTGAGATTATTTTCAATATAACGGTAAAGATGCAATAATGCAAAAACACATTCTCAAATATTTCACATTTCTAATGAACATTTAACACAGGAAGACATTTTAAATATGCAAAGTAAAGAAACAAACAACAGAAACAACAAATAAAATGAATTATGAAGTTTGAGACCAAACTGAAGACCTTTTCTCTCTTTCTACCAAAAACCGGATGATAAAACAGGAAATAACACAAATGGAAATTATTGAGCTCGTTTTTATTTATCATGCGGTGAATTGATCTATTTTTTATTGTGACAGAAGCACCTGACCTTTGACCTTAACACCCAGTTAAAGTTCCAGGATCAGGAGGATCATGTCCCCGATGATCCTCCTGAAGGAAGTCAGTTCAACAGCCGACTTCCTTCAGGGTTAAACTGTGTTTTGAATTGAATTAAAGCGAATGTTCTGTCGGTGTTGGTTCTGTTGGTGCTCCGGTGTCGACCCGCAGTCCAGACATGTTGGACTCCTTCATTTCTCTCACTTGCCCTCAGGAAGTGTGTTTGTGTGTCTCAGCCCTGTGAAGAACAAGTCACCAATCTGCCTCTACCTGCACAGGGAGACAGGTGGGCGACCTGTGACTTTACATCCGGTGTGCAAAGCGACATTTATCTGGTTCTTGTTAACAAACCGTGCGGCTGAACTGTGACGTAACAGACGGCAGAGCAACTTTAAGGCAGGAAAACAATGTGTTGCTGTTTACAATAGTCTCATAGTAAACAGGCAGCAGACCTCAGAGTAAAACCAGACATGGACTCTTTGGTGGAATCCCGCCGTGGCTTTGCAGCGCTGCGGTGAGAAACTCCTTCACGTTCCCACAGTGGGAGTGGGAACGTTTCTTCCCAGACAGCCGCCAGAATCTGGGCTGCTGTTAAGGAACCGCCGCTGATTATCGGTTATCTGTCAATGTGGTGATTTTGGAGGCTGATAGAATATGTTCACGTATCGATCCACTCCCGTCCAGCTGCGACAGGCTCCGCCTCTTACCTCAGCCCGGAACATAGACCTATGAACGTAGACGCTGAGCCAAAAGCAGGGTCAACCACACCAATAATAATAATAATAATAATAATAATAATAATAATAATAATAATAATAATAATAATAATAATAATAATAATAATTTCGGTAGTAGTAGCATAATGTCTTAAAGACTTTAACAGCAATCTGTTAAATAATAATAAAAAATATTTATTTTTATTATAATTGTAAATTGCCAGTACTCATCTTCATAACTAAAAAACAACGTTAAAGGGTTAAACAAGCCTTAAAAACACAAAGCACCTTGTGTTGTTTCTTATGAGGTTCCATACATGCAAGTATGTCATTTCTATTCTCAAGTATGTTTGGGTGTGGGTGTGTGTTGTACATTTATTCATTTATTTATTTATTCATTTTTATTCTGGTTGAATCTTTTAATTGAAAGTAACTTTTTTAACATGATGATTCTTGTCTGTTTTTATTAATGATTTTGTTTTCGCCCTGTTCCACTCTGGCATTATATTGCATCTTGTGCACAAATTAATTTTAATTTAATTTTAATTGAATTGAAAGAATATTGTTAAATATAACAGAAAAGATGGTTCAGGATATCTTCAGATGTAAATCAAGGTGTGTTTGGGTGAATTTTCAGAACATTATGAAGATATTATTAAAATTTACTTTAATAGTCACTGTTATTAGTACTACTACGGATATGTGTTATATATTAATACAACTTAGTTTATCATAAAGGTATTCATTTAATCATAAAATCCTGTTTCCAAGCTTACCTGTATCGGTTATCAGAGAGGCCTGCCACTAGCAATATGGCGGACGCGCTGACGAAGCGTTCCTTCTCGGCAAGGAAGAAGAAGCGACGTCTACTCGTTTATGTCTATGTTCCTCACAGCATATGCACGTACAACAGCTACACACCAACCGACCTTGAATATGTCCTCTGAAAAATACTCGCACGTGATTGGCTGTAGCTGCTGAGTTCCATCATCTTCCTGCATTGTGATTGGCGGACGCCGGTGGCAGTTAGACCCTCCCCGCCTCCGGCCTCTTTTGATTGGCTGCCTGCGCTCCTCTTTCTCTCGGCGGTGGGTCGGAGCCGCTGTCCCTGGCCTCGCATGTTTCCCTCTGGATTCCTGTTTTCAGTTTGATGCCCCTGTTGTAGATGCGCTCCGTTGAACGCCTTTGAAGGGCCACAGTCGGGCGTGCGTGCAGTGGTCTTTAGTTGCCCCCAACATTTTATTTTGAGGCGTTTCGAGGCTCCAACCCGAACATGGCTGTTCAAGTTAGCGGATCGTCTGGGCCGATTGCCCGGCTCGAGGGCCGTGAATTCGAATACATGATGAAGAAGCGCTCGGTGACCATCGGCCGGAACTCCTCGCAGGGCTCCGTGGACGTCAGCATGGGCCACTCGAGCTTCATCTCGCGGCGGCACCTGGAGATATTCACGGCCAGCGACGACGGCAGCGGCAGCGGGGACTTCTACCTGCGGTGTCTGGGTAAAAACGGGGTGTTTGTGGACGGAGTGTTCCTGAGACGGGGCGCCCCTCCTCTGCAGCTACCGCGAATGTAAGTTCCCCTCCAGCGCCGCGGGGCAGCATGGGGGCAGCAGCGGGCAGTAGCCGGAGCGTCCGGACAGCTGAACTTAACGTTTAACAGCAGCAGCTTTCCATCTGCGAGCACCACGTGTTTAGCATGTTAGCAAGAAGTCCGCATCCTGTTTCCTAAAGCTTTCTCTTTGTTGACATTCCTGCTAGCAACCGTTTTCTCGAGCCTGCTGCCGTCATTCCACGCACATTCCACAGCCCACCCGTGGGTCAGCTCAGCCTTCCCCCCCTCGGCGCTTATATTGGAGCCAGTTGATGTTTGTGCGCCTGTTACCGAAAATGGTGCTATTTTGCACGTTTGCATTCAGAAATGATGCAGTGAAATCGCCACTCTGCGGTGTTTTCCCACTGTGGGTCGTGGGTATTAATTGTGAATGAAGCTCTTCTCGACCCCTGAACGTAAACAAACAGCCGGTCCCGCCCTGCTGCGTGACCTCCGGTCCACTGGATCGGAACCCAGAGCTCCTTTCTCCGCCAGTCAACACACCTGAACGCATCATGGTTGCATTTAAACTCCACTAAATATTTTGTGAGCAACAGCTCTGATAAAACATGAGAAACAGTCATGAGACCCCAGGAAACGGGATCCTTTCATCAAAGTTTAAACTGAGAGGGGAAATAAAAAATGTCATTTACTAAATATCTAATGAGGCGTTTACTGACAAAACAACAAAAAAGCTCGCTCAGCTTTTGCAATAGTGCGTTTCACCATAAAGAGGAAATATCTTGTGCATGTTGACAGTTTGGGAGCAACAGTTTAAAGGTTCACTACATTCATAACAATTCAAATATGGGTTTGTATTTTTCAGTTTCTGACATTATTTGGTTTGATTTTGTTGTAAAACTGTGAAGTTCAGACTGGCAGCAGATGAGCAGGCAGCCAGTGGGATGAATGGATTAAACATGAAAAGATGTTCAACAGGAATTATGCTTCAGAATGAAACATGAATAAACCCTGGATGTGATAATCCAGAGGTTCTGCTGGTCAATGCCTCTGGCGGCTGCATTTGGACTCGGACCGGTTCTGTTTCCACCCAGAGCCGGTCCGTTTTGAGCTCGCCTCTCTTTCTCCACTGCACGTTGAACCTTCTTGGTTCTGGTGTCACGGTTTAAAGTGGCTCTCCAGAACGTGGCGTCACATTCTTGATTCCCAGCGTAAACATTCTGCATGTGTTCAGGTTGAACTGACTCCGTTTTCCCTCATTAATAGTTTAGTACTTTCGCCTACTATGACTTGTTTCAATGTTAATAAGCTCTTTTCAATTCTGTGCAGATTTTATATCAAACCATTTTCCATAGTTATGGTTCCAAGCTTCATTTGAGCCAATCAGGAAACTGGTCAAACCAGAATGAGTTAGCACTGCCCCCTGGTGGTAGATATTATTTACCTTAGAAAAGCTGATAACTTTTGCGCATTTTTAAGTTTATCAGTTGTGATTTATGCCCGTTTTGTCTTGAGTATTTTGGTTTAAGTCGTTAATGTTCAGTGTGAGAAACTGCTGTGAGACCAAAGGCTAACTGGCTAATTATTACATCAGCATTAAAATGAAAGTTTGTAAAACTTGTGTTACGTTAGCCTGCAATTATTGCACTGCAAACTTCCCCTGCAGCATGAAAATTGCAAGAAATATTTGCGATACATCGTGCAGCATTATTGGTGTCATAAAACTACATTTTCTTTAGAATATAAACTAAAGATTGAAAGTTGTCAGATCGGGAACAAAATGTCCGCCAGGTGATTCTGTTCGTTTATTTTCTGACTTTCCTGCCAGAAGAAGATGATGTAAATATATATATATATATATATATATATATATATATATATATATATATATATATATATATATATATATATATATATATATATATATAGACAGTTACATCATTTAATGGTTTTTCTTTTAGTTTGTTTTTAATCCAAACTAAATGCAAACTGTTTATTTGTTTTATGACTAACATCTCAGTCACATTATCCCTAAAGTATGGGTTGTTTTTCAGCTGTTATTTTATTTAATCACCTCCACACATACACGCACACGCACGCACACACACACTCACTCTCTCTCTCGTGGGAACTCTATCCAATTATCCCAAATGATTAAAAACGTAAAAATCTGGAATATTGAAGGACGGAAATAGTTGTGAATCCAGATCCAGATCTAGTTTACTTAAAAATCTAAGTAAACTAAAGACATGAAAGGAAAATTTAAAACATGCAACTGATATAATATGTGAAAAACATTTCACAATAAGACCTGAAAATATGAACAACCATTTTAATTAAGCTAAAATAACAAATTGAATGAAATGAACCATTTTAAGTTGTTTTTAGCATTGCAGTCATGGCAGCAACATGTCGGAGTCACTCTGACTTTATTATTATTATTTTTTAGTTTTTTGTTTATAATCAATTTTTAATTCCTCTCTGAGTTTTGAGGCGTTTTTATTCTTATTGCTCACCACATTCCCAGACAGGGTTTAAAGATTAGCGGCAAAAGCAAAGGAGGTGGATTAGCAGAACTGGCTAACAACTGATGGTTTCATCCTGGATGTTTCTGTGGAAAATCGTCTCTGCTGCGTTGATATGCAGCTGTTAGCATGTTGCACAGCAGCATCTTCAGTCAGAGGCCTCTTTAGGTTCTTTGAAAGACTGACTGCTACCTGAGCTTCTTCTCTCTGAAGATACTTTAAGGCTCTGAGTTGCACCAGTTTCCCTTTGGAATAAGGGAAACTTAAAGAAAATGATTTTTTAATAAATGTGAAGTTTGAAGGTGTTTTTATGTCTCTTTCTGTTAGCAGTAGCTTCACCTCAACATGTTGCTTTGTTTTGGTTGCAAACGAGTCGATTTTTATTTGTTCATCTGATCATTTTCAGTGTTTGCAGCGACGTTGTTTACATTTCGTTGAGACAGATTTGTTGGAATCTGGTTGAGGCTTTTCACAGCAGCGCCTGCAGTGTAAACAACCTCGCAGCTCCTGCCAGCGCTGCTCAGACTTTGCACACCGCTCTCTCGTTGCACAATCTCCCCACATGAATCCGTTTTCTTGCGCTGAGAAAACAGAGACTTGTTTTGACTTGATGCAGTTTCCGACCCGGGTGAATGTTTTCCTGAAACTTTGAAGGAGTTTACAGTTTTCTGCTCCTCTGACACACAAACACACACACACACACACACATACACACACACACACACACACAGGAGGTAAAATAAGTGACTTGTGCAGGAGTTTGTGTCTGACGGTCGTGGTTTGTGTTAAGCAGCTTGGCGGTGTGAGGGAGCCGCGGCCGCTGGTGTTGCTGGGATTCCTCTGCGGTGATGTCAGTGGATCCACAGGGAGGAACGGCCCTTTCCCGCTCCCTGCTGCCTCGCACCCCGAGCCGCGGCTCTTCCTCCCTCCTGTCCTCTTTGTTTACATTCTGCTCGGCGCCGGGTGGGGGTGAAATTCAAGTGAAAGCTTTCAGTTGAACAAGCTTTGTTTGTTGCCGTCCTCACGGCTTAGCAGCGTAGCAACTGTGTTTTCTTTCTCCTTTTTTCAGTTTGTGGCTCATTGTTGTTGTGGGAGAGAAATGGGGTAATAAAGAGGGATCTGTGACGGCACAGGGTGGGGGCTCCGTCACACCCTGAACTCTGATTCTGATCCAGACCCAAAGTTTTCTAAGCATTAAAGCTTCTGTTTCATCGGAATAAGCAGGTTTCTTGTCTTGGTTTTGTTCCAGTTTCCAGGGAAAATATCTGAAATAAGACAAAACTAACTTACAAATAACTTCTCAGCAAGATACAGGATCTTTTTGAAACTAAATTATTCCTTAATATTGATAAGAAGTTCTGGTTTTCTGTAAATATATTTTCCCCATAACTCATCAAGTGCCAGTTTTACCTTCACCTGGTTCAAATTCTGCAACAAATATCTCATATTAAGAACCTTTTGCTGTCCACTTATTAATCCAATTAATTAGTAGATGGTTTTTATTTAGCGTTTATTGAAATAATGCTTTATTGCATTTTAGGATAAGAAATGTTTTTTTTTTTTGCTTATTCAAAACACAAATTCTTTTTTTGCTTAGTTGCATTTTTTTTATTAAACTCAAGTTAAAAATCTGCAGCCTGTCAGTTTTTAATCCAATTAATTGATTACTAAAACAGTCGTTAGTTGCAGCCCTGCAGTGTTTTAAAATATGTGATAAATTGTCTCCAGGCGGATTTAAGAGACAAACTGGACAGTTTGACCTGTTTTTACGTCAGAAACTCTAAAAATGGTGAAATAAATGTAAAATTCACACCACAGCCTGAGGCGTCTGACTGTAAAACGGTTTTAAGTTTAAACATCCATCCGGTTCTGTTTTTCCTCCAGTGTTGTGCCGCTATGCAAGCTGAGTATTTCCAGTGTGTTTCATGAAGAAGCTGTCAGGTTATTGTTGTATATTTAGATTTCATGCAGCCCTGACAGTCTCTGGATGAGTCTGATGTTATTTTTACCGCCTCAGGTTCTTCAGGCTCCTGTGAGACGCAGCACAGCCAGTTCAGACGAAGGTAGCTAATGCTAATGCTAGCTAATGCTAATGCTAGCTCTGTGAGAACCTGGTGCAGGAAACTGCAAGTCGGTTCCTGGCGCCTCCAGCTGATTGGAAACCAGAGTTTTTGTTCCTTGGCGACTCGAGTCGTCCAGCAGTTTAATCCCAAATGCTCCAGAGCGCCACCTGCAGGTCGTCTCCTCCATCCTTATGATGTATTTAAAAATATGTATATTTTTGATCAGGCACCTTTTGCTCCCTGCTGGGTGGAGGCGACATTTCTTTAAATTCTCAAACTGAATCCAGTTTTTTTCTTTTATTTGAAGTCAGTCATTTATTTGAAGTCCAAATGTCTTTTCCTCCACTGACGTGTCGATGAGGCGCCTTCAGGCTGACTTTCTCTGTGTTCTGCGTCGTTCTCTGATTTTTCTGCAGGTGCACGTTCAGGTTTCCCAGCACCAACATTAAGATCAACTTCACGGCTCTGTCCAGCGGGAAGAAGGCCAAGCGAGAGGCGCCAGAGTCCCCAGTGAAACCAGTACAGCCTCAGATCTCCCCACTCACCATCAACATTCCAGACAACATCGCTCACCTGATGAGCCCGCTGCCGTCTCCCACCGGCACCATCAGGTACCTGCGCCCGCAAAAACAGCCGTTAGAGGTCAAAGGTCAGAGGAAACCAGCAGGTTGTTAAAACACCGGGCAGATTTTACTCGTTACTGACTCATTCAGTATCCATGGATCCATCGAAAACACACTGTATGGAGCTCTGGTGGTGCCAAAAACATGATTTTTTTTTTTTGAGTAAAATGTGCTTAAATTATTAAAAAAAAACTGAAATTTGAGTCAAGTATGACAATTTCTAACTAGATAAAAAAAAAAAAAAATTTATACATAAAAACAAGTTTATCAATCAATCAAGTTTATTTGTGTGAAACATTTCAGCAGCAAAATGCTAAACATCATAAAACACAAAGCAATTAAAACACCCTGCAGCCAAAAGTTTAGAAACCAATAACATCTGATGAATGACATCATCGATACAAAATCAATACTCGTCTAATATGTTGGTCGACGTTTCATGCATTATTTACAGTTAGCTGCAGTGATTCATGGTGGTGTCTGTTTTGCCCCTGCAGCGCTGCTAACTCCTGCCCCTCCAGCCCCCGGGGGGCCGGATCCTCGGGCTACAGGATGGGGGGCCGCATGGTCAGCTCCGTGGAGCTGCAGCTCATCAACGACAACTCGCAGCCAGAGAACGACAAAGAGGCGTCCGGAGGGGACAGCCCCAAGGTCAGCTGGGCCACAAACTGGTCACCACAAACTGGTCACCACAGACTGGTCACACTGGAAGCATTTCACACTGGGGGCCAAAGTGCGGCTCGTGGGCCATTTCTGGCCCGGGGACTGACTTTGCATTTTATCACAGACTTTATTTCCTTCAGTGGAAAATGTTCATTATAACACAAAGTATTAGGTTTTTTATAACCACGAGAATTTCACTGAACAGCCGACTTTACTGAACCCAAATCAGCTTTTATAATTTACTGAACTTGGCTAAAAGTAGCAAACACGTCCTGCTCTAATACAAAAAAACAACTGAAAACTAGACAAAAATTCTGGTTTTATTTGTACCATCTTTGGGATTTTACTCCCAGTTTTTGTTATTTTTAATCAAACTTGGTTGTATTTTTTGTTTTGTGATTAGTTGTGAAGCATTTGGTCAGCTGAGGTTGCAGTAAATGCGCCGTTTCCTGTGCTGCTCGTTGCAGGACGACTCCAAGCCGCCGTACTCCTATGCACAGCTGATCGTCCAGGCCATAACGCTGGCGCAGGACAAGCAGCTCACACTAAACGGCATCTACAATCACATCACCAAGAACTACCCTTACTACAGGACCGCCGACAAGGGCTGGCAGGTGAGTCCCAGCACCGCAGCCCGCTACTCCTCCTGCTCCTCGTCCTGTCACTGCTTGTCTCGCCGCAGAACTCGATCCGTCACAACCTGTCGCTGAACCGATACTTCATCAAAGTGGCACGGTCGCAGGAAGAGCCGGGCAAAGGTTCGTTCTGGAGGATAGACCCGTCGTCGGAGGCCAAGCTCATCGAGCAGGCCTTTAGGAAACGACGGCCCCGCGGGGTCCCCTGCTTCCGGACGCCGCATGGACCCCTCTCCTCCAGGTCGGCCCCTACTCACACCTGGCACCGCACACAAACCGTATACACAGACCGTATACACAGACCTCACACAGACCTCACACACAGACTGCACACACAGACTGCACACACTGACCACACACAGACCTCACACACAGACCAACACAGACCTCACACACAGACCGTAAACACAGACCACAAACAGACCTCACACACAGACTGCACACACAGACCGTACACACAGACCTCACAGAGACCTCACACACAGACCACACACACAGACCGTACACACAGACCACACACAGACCTCACAGAGACATCACACACAGACCACACACACAGACAAACACAGACCGTTCACACAGACTGCACACACAGACCTCACACATACCGCACACAGACCGTACACACAGACCTGATCTTGTTTTACTCGATCAAAGCAACTCAAAGGGGTTGCTCTGGTCCAGCTGGGGTTGGATCAAATAAAAGTTTAGCTACTTCAAAAGCCAGCGGTTCACTAAATATGCATCGGCCTGTAGACCTGGTGGCTCTGGAGGAGCTGCAGAGATCAACGGCTCAGGTGGGAGGCGATATCTGGGTTATGAAAAATGGTGGCAAGTCGTCTTTCAGCAGTTTCCATCAGACCAAGAGAAGATAAAGGAAACATGAAGCTGCTCAGATCAGATTGAAACCTCTGGGTCAAAATGAACCATTTAGAAACTAAAACATTAAACTGCAGCTAACAATTATTAGCAAGCGATTATTCTATTGATTTTTCTGCTGATTAATTGAATCAAACATTATCAAACAAAAAAAACATTAAGTTCTGATGAAACTACTTAATCTTGTTTGTTACTCATACATAAAAATAACATTTACGTAAACAATCCATTTAATTCCGATTAAAATGAAAAACCTGCATATTGAACCCCAGTTCAGCTCTGATGTGTTTAGTGTTTAAACCCTTAAATACTTTTAAACAAGTATCTCATTTCAGTCAAGACAGAAGCAACCAATAAATGTTTTATCTCAGGCCTTTAATCAGCTGCAACCTGGCTAATGACCAGCAGGGGGCGAATATGGCATTGCTGCATCATATTTTCTTCTTTCCTCTCAGGAAACGTTTAACTTTTGTGTTTATGTCTCATTTTCATTCCAGTTCCAACCAAACACTCAATATTGTGTTCATTTCTCTGTCTGGCCTGCAGGAGCGCTCCAGCGTCTCCCAATCACTCCGGGGTGCTCTCCGCTCACTCCAGCGGGGTGCAGACCCCGGACAGTCTGTCCCGGGAGGGCTCCCCGGTCCCCCTGGAGCCGGACACGCCCTCCGCTCCCCCCCCAGTTCCCACCGCCGCTGTCCAGCCCAAACTGGCAGTCATCCAGGAAGCACGCTTTGCACAAAACACACCAGGTGGCACGCCGGCATTCTTCTTCTTCTTCCCTTCCAGACTGCAGCTCTGTTGCTAACCTGTCTCCCCCCGCCCCCGGTCCAGGCTCCCCGGTCAGCAGCCAGCCGGTCCTCATAGCGGTCCAGCGCCAGTTACCTCAGACCATCAAGCCAGTAACTTACACCATGGCGTCCCCAGTGAGCACCAGCAGCTCCCAGCCCGCCGTCCAGACCGTCCACGTCCTGCAGCAGATCCCGGCCGGCTCCACCGTCATCGCCCAGCCGGCCGCCATCATCAAGAGCGAACCGCAGGAGAACGGGGAGCACACGGAGGTCAAAGGTGAGGCCCGGAAGCAGGAGGAGAACCTTCAGGAAGGAGCTTTGGTCCTTGTTGGGGGGCGGAGCTTATTGATGGTTAGAGGGGAAAACATTTCTGATTGGCTGACTTTTTCCAGGGTTTAAACACTGTGTTTAGCCCTGTTGTCACGGTAACAAGTTTTGCGGGGTCATTAATTGTCCCTGAAATAATTAAGATAAATTATAATATTGTCACTTGGAGACCATGTTAACTAATAGCAAAAAATGGCACAGCAATGCAAATACATCTCTGGAAACATCTAAAGACATGAATCATCATCTTACCATGTGATTAATTGATTATTGATTGGTGATTAATGGATGATATCTGCTTCCTCTCCGTCCAGTGAAAGTGGAGGCAGTTCCCAGCATCGGTTCTTTAGGCGCCTCCAGTCGCATCATCCAGAGCTCCCAGTCGGCGGCGCCGCTGCAGACGGTCACCATCGTGCAGCAGGTCCCGGTGGGTCAGCACCAGCTGCCCATCAAGGCCATCACCCAGAACGGCACCCACAGCCTGACCACCGCCCTGCAGGCGCCCTCCAGCTCAGGTGATTACGCTTCAGCTCGCTGGTGAAGCATAAGGTAGCCGCTAGCTGCTAGCCGCTAGCTGTTAGCCGCTAGCCCCTAACTCTTCTGTCCTCTGCAGCCCCGGCCGCCAGCCCCCTCCACCTGCTGGCCACCCACGCCTCCGCCTCCGCCTCGCTCCCCACCAAGCGGCAGAACGGAGACCAGCTGGCGGCGGAGCAGCCGGACGCCAAGCGAGGGAAACCCGAGGAGGAAACGCCCGCTGTTGCCGTGGAGACGGACTCGCCAGCAGCCGGAGATCAACCAAACTAGCCGTCTGGACGCCTCGCCCGCCCCGCCCGCCGTCTCTCTCTCTCTCTCGCCCCGTCGTTTGTTTCGTTTCTCCGCCCGCCGCTGACGACCGAGGTGCCAAACGGAAAACCACGCCCACCGCCGCTTTAAAAACTGGAACAAAAAACTCGAAGGTTTCCGTGTGAGCCGTGACCGAAGCCTTAGCAACAACGAGCCGACCTTTGACCTCCGGCTCAGGCTGGACGCCGCCTTTCTGTCACATCTACCTCAGAGCAGATCGGAGCCTCCGGCAGCCGGCAGCCCCCCCACCGCGACGTGACCAACCAGACGGCTCGTTTCTCCGTTTATCGTCCGAATCCAGACAAAGTCATAAAGGGATCAACTTGGAGCCAATCTTTAATTCCTGGCAGCTAGCCGCTCATTACTGACCCTGTTAATCGCAGCTGTACGTAGAAATTCAGTATTCTGTGGTTCAACATGTGGAGCATAGCAGTTTTTTATTGTATTTACACTTAACTAGAGACGTAATAAACTCAAGGAAGCGGAGACATTTCAGAAACTAAGTTAGAGGACTTTTTACGTGAACTTTCTCTGTTTGGTGAAAACGCTGTAACAGTTTTTGGTAAGCCATGCGCTTTACCCCCTCCCCTACCTGTTGCTTACGATCCGGCTTCGTTGCTCGGCCTGCGCAGATCTGCGTGTGCAGCTCCGGGCGCCGACCTGCATGAATCCGACGACAGAGAAGTCAGAGAGGCCAGAGCTGCACTTGATTTAAATATTTTTATTTCTCTTCCTGCTCCTCCTCTTCTTCTTCTGTTTCCGTCACACCCCCCTCATGGTCCCTGCAGGCTGTGTTGATGTTGTGGTGTTGGCAGACCCCCCATCCCTCACACATTCATTTGCTAATTACGTATTTTGCTCTGTTGAGGCGACCTGGCGAGTCTGTTTCTGATTGTACACGTTCCAAACAATAGTAAGAAAAGAAATTGATGTTTGTTCTGCTTCAGTGGAGAAATGCTTTTTTTTTTAAAATAAATTAATTTAAAGTCCTTAAAATCTTTTTGTTTGGTTTTGAACTTTTTTCATGTTGAAATGGATTTTTGGGGTAGTTCTCCAGTCATCCTGAAGAGGGCAGTGCAGGCTAGTTTTCAACATTTTTCGACTAAAGCTGGTAAAAAGTTCAATACTGACAGGTGCAAAATTTAACTTTATTACAGAATCTTCATTTGAATATATGGATGTCAAATAAAATAAAATTAGATTTAAAACCACGAGTTCAATATTAACTTTTAAACATAAATGTATTTATTTACTTAATTGTATTTTCTTTAAACTTTTTGTGTGTGAATTACTGATTTACTGGCATGAAAATGTTATTAATAAAATATGTGACTTGAAAGGGCTGCACACTGGTGCAGTTGGTGGCTCTGTTGCCTTGCAGCAAGAAGGTCCTGGGTTGGATTTGATTCTTTCTGCTTCTCTCTGAGTACTCCGGCTTCCTCCCACTATCCAAAAACATGACTGTCAGGTTAACTGGTCTTTTTAAATTCTCCTTCGGTGTGGATGTGCGTGCATGGTGTCAGAGGCACTAGAACCCCTCCTGACCCACAAGGGACAAAGGTGTAAGAAGATGGATGTGACCTGAAAAGTAAAAACTAAATTGTAAATGTATTCTAAGGTGTATTTTAGAAACCCTTATCAGACCTGCAATAATTTCTTTTTTACTTTGCTTCATTGAAATACTGTTTTTATTTAAAGTAAGTTTCTGAAGGTAGCGATTCCGTATCACTCCAGTAGGGGGCAGCACTCAGAGGATCCGTATGGGAATTATTAGAAGAAGAAAAAGAGTGCAAACCCGCCATGTGAATTAAGGAGTTGTTTAGCTTCCTAGTAACTTAATTACAGAACTTTTAACGGCTACTAGAGATTATTATTAAAAACATTTGTTTAAACTCCGCTGGAAGGTGATGCGTGTTTCTGCTGGCGCTGTTGTTGAGTCAAACGCCGAGCCGAAGCTAAAATGTTAAGCTAACGCCAGTTGGTTCGGGGTTTTGGTGGAGAAGGAGTCAGAAAATGGAGGAGATGGTGGTGGAGTTAAACTCTGGGAAACCGTCTGCGCCCGGATCAGATCAGGGGGTCGCCAAAGCCTGGGAATCGGTCACAGCAGCCTTGGTGAGCGGAACCGAACCCCGGTTTGGTGCAGCTAAACAGAGACTGAAGAACGTTTTCAGAAGTCAATTCAAATATCTGATCATTTAAGATTTTCCCCTACAGCGAAGGGTTATTAACAGTTAGTCACTAAGCTCGTTGTTTATCTGGTCAAATAAAGTGTTCGGCCGAATTCGGCTCATATTCGGCAGTTTGTTTATGTTTGCTTCCATATTTTACAGGCTGATGACAGATAATTTCAAAGTCATGTGTTGTGGTCTGACTCTGGAAGCATAACAAATTAAAGGGAAGCAACTTATGGGATAACATAAAATGAGATTTATTTAACAGAAATCATCTGGAGAAGAGGGAGACAGAAAGAGAGACTGATGTCTGGAGACACTGAGCTCCAATCCCAGTCAGGACCGATCAGAAGCTCCAAATACAAGAAAATAATTTTATTCACTTCAAAACGGGAAACTTTCATACTCTGAAACAAAAGGTCACTGATTGCTAAAGGCTGTTCAGAGTGTTGATTCCAGTATGCTAACGGAAAGTTCAGCAGAAGGAAAAAATGTGGTTTAAAACACACACAAGCACTAGAGATACATGCAGCCTGAGAGTTTAGAAGATATTTTCAATGTTTGTTGATGTGTTCCGATGGGTTCTGATGGGTTCTGATGGAGTTTTGTCTCTGTAGGTTTCTCCAGGCAGCTCTCTGTCAGAGCAGGACCGTCTGGACCTGGCGCTGCTCTGCTCTCATGGTTTGGGTCGGCTGCTGGGCGTCTGGCTGCTGGAGTCCCTGCAGGTGCGCCTGTCGTCCTCGGTGGTCCCGGAGTTCTGGTCCGGACTGGAGCAGCCGCAGGACCAACTGGAGGAACGGGACCGGGCCGGAGTTCTTCTCTCCGCTTTCCAGACGTTGCTGGACCGGCTGGAACCGTTCCTGAGTTAGTAGAGCAACACAAACCTCCTGGATCTGGAAGCCTATTGGCTGCTGTAGGCCAGTGGTGACCAAACTGTGGTTCAGGGGCCACTTGTGGCCCACAGACTGATTTTTGTTTTTGTTTTTTTGTTTTGTTTATTACTCTTCATGTTTCTAATCTGGGAAAAACTGTCACAACATTTTTCTCTTACAATGAATCTTTTTACAAACAATTTGTTATAATAAGTAGAACATTTAAACAAACTTTTACTGAATCGCAGACTTTCCTGCACCAAAATCAGCTTTTATTTTGTTTTAATCTCAGCTAAATATAGCGAATGTTTTCAAATAAAGTGATCCAATGACTGAGAATACATTTGTTCAGTCAAGCCTAAAATAATTAGAAAACTGAAACCTTTTAATGTAATAAAGTGCAAAATTCATTTTACGTGAATTTTGCTCATTTATTCAGTTTTGGTTTAATTGCTGGACTGACTGTTTGTGTTGCTTTGAGTCTATTTTCTCCAGCTAATTGATTACTAAATTAGTTTAATTGTGATGAATTGATTAATCACGATTAATCGTTTCAGACCTGGTTCTGCGGCTCTAAGCATGGCTTGTGGTCTCGTCCAGGTGGGCTGGAGCAGCTGGGGGCGTGGCAGGCGGAGGGACGCTGCGGCCTGTCCGGGCCGGGCCCCGGGGTCCTCCAGGACCGGGCCTTCACCACCATCCGGGCCCTGCTGCTCTTCTCACCGCCCGCCGTCCTGCAGCAGCGGGTGCTGGAGTTCTACAGCCGGACCTTCTCCGTCTACACGAGCCGGGAGGGCGGGGAGGACGGCGCCGAGGCCCTAGAGTGCCCCGACGGGGGGGCGTGTCCGGGCTGCGGGGCCCCGGCGCCGCGCTGCTGGTGCCCGGAGGCCCTGCAGCTGCTGCAGCAGCTCAGCCTCGTCCTGTGAGCTGCCGCCGGGAGTTCTGGGTAAGGGTCGTGGGCGGCGGCGGGTGTGTGACGCGGCGGTTCTGTGTGGCTGCAGGTCCCGGCTGCAGCTGCTGGAGTGGGTCAGCGCCGAGGCCGTCACCGCCATCCTGCACCGCCTCATCGAGCAGCGCATGGAGCAGCACTGCCGCGGCGAGTACGAGCGCTCCTTCCTGCTGGACTTCCAGGAGGTCAGGCGCTCCCTTCACAAAATGGCCGCTAACGCCGCTCTGATTTCAGCCGTTTACCCGGGTTAGCGTGTCAGAACGGGTTTTTCTGAGCCGCCTTTAAACGCAACATGAGTGTTGTGTTTAAACAGCAGCTGTGTTTCCATTTTTTGCTAATTTCACTATTTTGTAGTAATAGTTGCAGCAAAACACAAAACTTTGCTAATCTGAACATAATTACTCAGCATTTCCTACAATGTAAACAATGTTTACATTGTTATTGATTATTTTACTTGAAATGTCACATCGATGTTTATGTGTTGAATTAAAAGCCGGTTTGTTGCTCTGGGTCTGGATCTGTCTCTGGTGGAGCAGTGGATGGAGCTGGTTCTGGGTTGGCTGGGGAAGGTGTTCGCCACAGAGGGGGGCGGAGCCGCGGCGGTCCCCATGGATCCCAGCGTTCCCAGTACTCCCAGCGCCTACGGCAGCCCGGTTCTGAAGCAGTGGCGGTGCCACATGCACCAGTTCTTCTGCAGGATCTACGTCAACATGAGGATCGAGGAACTGTTCAGCATCATCAGAGGTGAGAACGAAGCGACTTCATGTTCATCAGTCTGGATGATTCCTTCAGAACCACAACTCACGTTTACTGTTTCGTTCTTAGAGTTAGGGTGGTGAAGGGGTAGCCATGTTCAGTCTGCTTTAATAAAACTCCAGTCCTTTTGTCTAGAAAGTCCAGTTCCAGTGTGAATGGTAATCGACCTCTGACCTCTGGTCCTCCAGACCTCGGTCTGGGTTCAGTTGAAGTGAACTTTGGTTCATTTTTAATGCATGTATGAACACCAAGCGGACTGGAGACTATGTCAGAAGCAGGAAGTGGACTACAGCGCAGGGCATTCTGGGTACAAACACAGAGCGAACATGCTAGCCTAGCGTTAGCAGCAGAAATGTCTCCTGGTCTTCAGCCAAAGACTACAGAGAGAATCTGACGCCTCCATCTTGTTTCCATCTGATGAAACAGGAAGTTGCTCTCAGCCTCTTCAGAGGTGTTTGTGTGGATTCCTTCAGTGATTGTTGGTGCAGCGCCCCCACAGGCCAGGATGGGAACAGGCTGGTTTGACTCAGAGCAGCTGCAGGTGGAGCAGATGGTGGAGTTTGGGTCACTAATTGAACTGATTCTACTGGACTATCAGGAGGGAAAACAGCAGAAAATGCTTTTGTTTTTCGTTTTGTTCTTATTTCTAAGCACATTTTTCTTGTTTTCCCAGATTTCCCAGAATCCAAACCAGCCATTGAGGATCTGAAGTTTTGTCTGGAGCGAACCAACCAGCGCCAGCAGCTCCTCACTTCGCTCAAATCGGCCTTTGAGAGCCGTCTGCTGCACCCAGGTCAGAGTTCACCTGCAGGATGTTTCACCTCAGGAATCAGCTCCATAAAACCTGCAGCACCAGTTGCATGACAGCGCCCGTTCCTCCTGCAGGTGTTCACACGTCCGACATCCTCACCGTTTACATCTCGGCCATCAAAGCTCTGCGGGAACTGGACCCGTCCATGGTGATCCTGCAGGTGGCGTGCCAGCCGATCCGGAAGTACCTGCGGTGAGTTCTGCGGCCGATCCGGTTCTGACGGCTCGGATCAGCGGGAAGATGAGCGTTCTGGTTGAGGAATCAGAATTTCAGCATAAACATTGTTTACAACAGTTTTTACAAACTTACATTTTAATGTTTGCATAAACAAACAGAAATTAAATCTTTGCAGTTTAGAGCTGCAGGCGCCGCTGATGATCCGGGTCATAAAATAAATGTTTCCACCACATCTAACTATTGATGCGAGGAGCGGCCATATTGA